AATTAGCTCTACTTTAAAAAATTACATGAAGTAAATTTAATCTTCAGTCTTGAAATTAAAAGTTATAGTGCCTTTTGTGGAATAATTTTAAAGAGTTTTCAACTCAATTCTTTGTTTTGTTGTAGTAAATTTCTTAATGAAATGTATAAATCGGCAGAACAAGAAGCTGACGGAATCAAAGAGGTGGATAGCAAGACTATTATTAGAAAAAAATTCTGTCTTTAAGATCCTGATAGAGAATGTATGCCAGAAATGCAATGTTCCTGGAGTCATACTCAATTCTAGACTTATACCGATGTTCAAAACAAACAAAGCTAGTTGTCTTCGAATTCAAATGAGTTTGACCCAAAAGATTTAAATATCGTACTTACTTCGATCGAATAAATTTGCTCTTTATTGATATTTTCTTTTTTGGTTTGAATCTTTTCCCTTGTATACCAACTAAGCCGTCTTCTAAAGTTTTAAACAACCCTTTCTCGGGACACTTACGCTTACCCGCCATTTTGAAAGCTGGCTCCTCCACGCATACGCTATATTATTCATGTCCAAAATGCGCAAGCCTGGGGCGAATGTCTCGTCTGAGTGGCCAATATTTTCGTATGTAATTTATGGTAATAAACAGTTGTTTTTAAATCTCTCGGGACGTTTGAATATGGCATGCAAATGGTGGGAAAACAATCCTTGTGTTGTTACTATAGCTCAGTTATCTTGTGTGATTAGTTAAAAAACGCTTTTCTGTCAAATTTTGACAAGTATATATACAAAACTAGCAATCGTATATTGAATACGAAATAGTTTTTAAATTATTTTAAAATATTTTCAGCAGAAACAATCGTGAATGCACATGGTATATAAAAAACATGACTCAATTGATGACTTTTTAAATTGTGTGACTTATCTCGAGCATATTTTATCTCCAGAGTACAGCATGACAAACTTCTCACGTTTGAATTTAAAAACAACTGTTTATTACCATACTTCGGGAGTAAATCGGAAAGCAGCGAAGCGAGATGAGACCGTGCATGGTGCTAAAGAATTTGGTGTTATGTTCATTAGCAAACAATAGAATTCCCAGAGCACCAAATCGTTGGGAAACGATCAATGTTTTCTGTATTTCTCGTTCGCTTTAGATCGCTTTAAATGAGTTCARTAGTCTCTCAATTTTCTCTCAATATTAGTTTAAGTTCTAATTTGTATCCTGACGTAGTTTTGAGAGAAATGATCAGCGATGTTGTTCCTTTTAAAACTAGATGCAGAGTAAAACTAAATGAGCAATGACTTTTGTGAATATATAGCTCTGAAATATTAATTTCGGCCGTATCACATCAATTGTTTAGTTTTGAAGTAGATTATGCCAGGAGTTCATAACTTCTGATTATGCACTATATTTAAATAATCTCAAATATCTCATGATTAGCTAGATAGATTTTTTCAAAAATCCCTACAAATGGAGGTATCTGGTATATAATTATGTGGTATGAAGCATTTTAGTGTTGAACGCTCCACAAGGCTAAAATTGTTCTCTGAACGAAAACAAATATTTCATCATAATCACGTGTTATGACGTCCGATCTCATTAAAAACTGCATCAAACATTAACTCAATCTTTATGTGACTTATGTCCAAAAAAGATTTGCAATCGGATAAAACACGTTTGTGCACCAGGTTCCAAACGTGGAAGGTAGCGGTCAAGCGTGAGGGGGTCCAGCCACCTTAATAAACGAGCAGGAGTGTTTTATCGGGTATAAAACACGAGGAGCAACCGTGTGGTTTTAGACCCGATAAAACACGGTCTGCGACTTTATTTAACGGCTTAGAAAACTGATGATGTATGTTCTCATATTGTACCGAATTCTTTACGAAATSAACCAAGTTTGATAGAGAAAATCCAATATCAAGTTTATGCAAATGAAGACGAATCTATATCAGATATAAAACCACCTTCATGATGGTCATGATTTCTATGTGTTTCCTTCATGAAGTATTGATGTGTTTTTTAATTATTCTTTACATTTTCCAGTGTTCCAATTTTTTTTACTGTAAAAAACATTGTTTACATTCCTGTATTGTCACGTTGTCTTTCACTTTCATTAGTCGATCAGTTTATTTTATTTTCAGTTTATTTAACGGGTAAATTTGCATGTTAGGAAAGCCGGGTTTGTGGTTAAAAGAGCATGCAAAGAATGTATCTCTTCATATATCGTACAATAAAAATATATCTGTCTATAGTAATAATAGAGTGCAAACAATATAACCGTGAAACTTTGGTAATACTAAATAGCACAATTTCATGCAAATTCCATTTTTTTCTATTGTTTAATTAGCACTATTTTGTCAGTACTATTTAGTAATTAGTGTTTCACGAATTAATTGTTTGCACTCTACTAATAATAATTTTTATTATATACATACTGAGAAATACTCAGTGAAAATGTATTCAGTAAATTTTCGTTCATTCACTGGTCTCAGCCAATCAGAGAGACGAACGACGTTTTTTCACCGTGAAAAAAAGTCGTTCGCCGATCTGATTGGATGAACGATATTTTTGTACTGCACAGTTGAATGGTTTCCATCCCTGCGCTCATAGACTTGGTAGCTTTGTCATTGAGCAAAGCACAGGCTTACCATCCGAAGTATCTGTGGTTTCGGATGTGTGGGCTCCCTTTGGTCTCTTGTGGAGTTCGCCCGTTAATAAAATTTTGAATTATCGAGTGATTTCAGCTTCTCAAAAATACATCTTCTGAAGACTTCCCAAGAATTAAATGCCTTCAAAATAAAGTTTAGTCATTCACTTCATGAAATTTGAGTGTTATTTCTTCGTCCGATGCGTTTTAAGGCTAGTTTTTGGCGTTTGGGACGGACTAGAATGTTACCCAAGAAAGACAACCCTACAAGCGCACAATAATTTAGACCCATAGCATGTCTAAACACAATGYACAAGCTAATTACATCACTTATTAATAACTACCTGCAAGAACACCTGCATGACTAACTACAACTTTATGCAACTCGATCAGAGAGGAGGAGTCAAGGGCTCCATGCGTGCGTTGATAACCTCTTGATGGATAAAGCAATCTGGGAAGACGCTAGTAAAAACAAGAAAATCTCTTGTCTTTGTGTGGATGTGAAGAATGCATTTGACAGTGTATCTCATACATGATTACTTACAGTTCTACAAGATCATGAAATAAACAGAATACTTACGTCCTTCATTGCTATAATAATTAAGACCTGGAAAACTACACTCTATGTACAAACTGCAGAAAGTCAAATAACAATAGGTCCAGTTAATATCAACCGAGGAATTGTACAAGGAGACCGCTCTTTTTGCGTAACATTATTCACTTTATGTCTTAATCCTATAGCTTGGTACTTACGGTCCACTGAGGGTTACACTCTTTCTCATGACAAGACTATCAAAATTACACACAGCCTATTTGTAGATGACTTGAAGACCTACCACAAGAATAAAAATCAAAGCTGCTACAGTTGGAAGTACTCTAGAAGAGATGTTCAAGAACACAGGTTTACAATGGGGAATCGATAAATGTGCAGCCATCTACATCGAAAGAGGAGAGCATGAAGTGAATCATGAGCTACTTTTAGCAAGTGGACAACGAATACCAGTTCTTGGAGAAGACGACTACTACAAATTTTTTGGGAAATTTGAAAACACCAGACAGCTCGAACAAGAAATACAAAAAATAGCTGGCCGTAAATACCTCAGACGATTATCTGTGATATGGTCATCGCCCTTATCAATACCGCGAAAGATCAAAGCTACAAACCTGTTTGCAATCCCAGTTCTTTTATATCATATGTGGACAACTGACTGGAACATTCAACATCTACAAGAACTCGACAGAAAAACACGAAAAATAATGAACGAAAACCACTGCAAACATAACCACGAGTCCAATGCTATATTCTACCTCCCCTTTCACRAAGGAGGCAAAGGTCTACAACAGATTAAAATGTTGTAAAAAGTAACAAAGATAAAAACAGCTCACTACATAACAACCAGCACCGACCCACATGTCAAACTGCTAGCTACATTCCAGCAACACAAAGAAACCAAATCTTTAAGATCGATCGAAAAGGACGCTAAGAAATATGCAAACCAACAAAACTTAGAGGTAGAGTTCGACATTACAAAGAAAACAACAACTATCACAACAGACGAAGGACAAACTCAAGTTACTAAGTGTCAACCAAGACACAACAAACAGGCGCTCAAGGAAGAAACAGAAGCTAAGTTTGAAGACAAAGTAAAGCAACAAGCATGGGTAGGCCAGTACCTAGTTARACAATGGCAAGACAAAGATCTAGAGAAAGAAAGTTATAACATCCCTAATTAGATATGGAAGAACATTCCTGACGTTGTTTACAGTGTACCCACTAGCTAGTATCCTGCAACAGTTACTGACAACTAAGGTATATCGTAGAAATAAGTTAAAGGAAGAAGGAGGAGATCTAAGATGCAGGTTATGCCACGTCCAAGAAGAAACRATACCACACTTGCTATGCGGATGTTCTGCTATCGCACAATCCCTATTCAAGGCAAGACACGATCGGATGCTACGCCCTATTTACCATCAAATCATATCGTCCTATGGGTTCACTGCAGATCTGCAGACACCATGGCACAAACAACCAATACCAGAACCTGTCGTAAAGAACAAAAAAGCAAAGATACTCTGGGACATTCCAATACATCTGATCTGAAGGTTACAACAAAGAACGGAGCTAACCGGCCGGACATAGTGATAAAGGACAAAGAGAAGAAGATCTGGTTGATCATTAAAGGAACTGTTTGTAATATAGGCATTATTGAAGAACGAACACTATTAAAACAACAGAAATATACCAAATTAAGATCATGTCTAAAGAGCCTATATCCCGATTATAAAGTGATCCAAGTAAACATTGTCCTAGATTTTCTAGCGAGTTATAAGAAACAACTTGTACATGATATGGAAAGTGTAGGTAGTAATGATGGACAAAACTTGATAAGACAATGCCAAAAATGGATGATATGCAAAACTGCGAAATAGTGTAATATTCTGCCCCATCTATTGTTAATATTAAAGTATGCAAAGGCAGCTCTGGCCTGGAACAAATCCTGGCCGGAGAGTGATAAATGGGACAGAATGTGGATCAACCCGGCTTGCTCGTGGACGGGTGGGTGGGACAAAAAACCTATACTTCGTGGTCGGTGGTTTAATGAGAGTGATTAATTCATGGCATCTCTTCCCTTTTGTATTAGTATAAAGTCCGTGAGAATACATATTAACAATTCCTCTGGGACATAATTTACATATTCAAGTTGACTATGAATAGTAAAAGATTTCTAAAATTGTCTGAATTAGTAAAATGACTAAAAAGATCTAAAATATATCCCTAAGTTTCGACTTGAATATAGAGATTATTTTATATTACTTAGTATTTTTTAAAGTATTTTAATATTCTTCTTTAAACCTTGCATGAAAAAATGTAGATAATATTTTTAGACATGCTTGATTCACGACAAGCAGTCTCACTTCCTTGACAACGCAAATACCTTGACCCCAGTACTATTCAACGTAGATGACCCTTGCTAACTGTTTACTGTTTGGTTCTTCTACAAAACGAACTGATCTTATCAAATCGTCTTGTGCAAGGAAATGAAGAATGGAGAAGAATTTGCAGCTATTATTCTTACTTTCAGTTTTTCACTTCTGTACAGGTACAATTTTGTAATTATATTACATTAAGAATAAGATAAGCTACCACGTGATGAGACCCTGAATCAATCCGCAGTAATTAACGGTTATGCTATGTACTTAGACTATGCTGGCTTAATAACCAAGTCCGTATTCAATACCTCGTGAACTTTTCTAGTTAATAGATACGATAATTGCTAACTTGTAAGTTAATTTAAAACATGAAAGTCAATTACAGACATCTGATCATGACGTTATATGATCATGACGTTATATGATCATGACGTTATATGATCATGACTTACGATGCATTGAACAGGGGAATGCGGGATAAAAGTGCAGTTTTAAAATAACTACTGTATCCAATTAGAGTGCAATTAAGTTTTTAATACCAAGATCACCGAGGAAAATAAAAACAAGATATAGTTCCCTTGGTTAACCAAGAGACCCTTAAGGAAATTAGGAACAGGTTTCACGGCAAGTGGACTTTGTCAAATCGACAATTAAGAAAAGACGACGGCTTCCGATAAAAGACTAGTCTCAGCTGCAGCTGTTTTTCGTCCAATTGAAAACTTTGCGATTTCCTATACAAATTGGTTACTTGCATGCATCGTGCCAATTTTCATGCATGTAACCAAAAAATGAACAATTCTACACCACATTCGGTCCTAATAAGGCGCATTTCATTTCAAAGATTGTTGATTACAATTTTTGTGTCTACTGCATATTAATAAGCAGTAGACACTATGCCATCGAGTTTACCCAGATATACTTTATATCCTATTTAACTAGCGAAAAATATAGTTAAATGACATACGATATAACTGACATAAAGTTCATCCCGCTGTAAGGGTTGTAAAACTTTTTTTGTAAAAAATCAAACGATCAAATAAATGATATCATTGGATGATATTTTTAGAATAGATTCTTAAAATAGCATCAAAGTGTGCATATGATGGG